AATGTGCACGCAACCAAGGCCATCGCAGAATTTGGAGTTGTTTTCTTGCTTTTCAACATTGGCCTTGAGGTAGATTTGATATATTTGTATCCTTGTGCTTTTGCTATTGAACTGTGTTTTGTAGAAGGGCAATTTGTTTTGTTTCTTATCTGACAGCTATCTGTTGAAAGACTGAGTTCCATGAAGAAATATGTTTTTGGATTAGGCTCCGCTCAGGTGATTTGATTATTTGAAGATCCGCGATGATCATTCCCCATAATTTATCAACTATAGTATGTTCCTACTTAATGCTTTTGTGTCCAAGTCCTCTAATCTACACTTCTATTGTTGTAATCTAGGTTCTGGTGACAGCAGCAGTAGTTGGATTGATTGCCCATTATGTTGCTGGTCAGGCTGGTCCAGCTGCAATAGTTATTGGAAATGGCCTGGCATTGTCCTCCACTGCTGTTGTTCTACAGGTAACATTTTTGTTTGTATTCAAATAGAGATCTTAATGAAAGGAATTTTGTAACAGTCCTTTCATTTGGTTTTTTTATGCACTTAAGCTACCAATTCGTTGAACAGAAACAATGTACTTGGTTTTCAGGTTCTACAAGAGCGAGGTGAGAGTACATCTAGACATGGACGGGCTACATTTTCCGTCTTGCTTTTTCAGGTCGGTTCTGAACAGAGTTCATTCTGCCCGTGTATAAATACAACTATGCTGGGAATTTCTCATCATTTTGTTATTATCCTTCACAGGATCTAGCCGTAGTTGTTTTACTGATTCTCATCCCACTTGTTTCACCAAATTCATCGAAAGGAGGGGTAAGCTCATCTAAGATTCCTTCTTTTTCTTGAGTGCGGTTTACTTTTGTGTTCTCTGCCATGTGTTGGCAATTATCTAAAGTAAGAGGTTTGATCATTTATTTGCTCTCTTAAGAAGAAACATTGTGGTTATCTGTTGCTAATACTGGTTTTAAATGCCAGATATTCCTATATGCTTAAGGATGTCTAGGAAGTATCAGTGGTAGGAAAATGATAAGTTTCTAACTGTTCTTTTCAGATTGGATTTCAAGCCATTGCTGAAGCTCTTGGACTTGCTGGAGTCAAAGCAGCAGTTGCTATTACTGCCATAGTTGTTGGTGGCCGTCTTGTAAGTCTCAGATACTTTAACTGTTGAGACGCCAGATATCAAAATAAATTAATTACCAAGGTTGTAAGGTGAAATGTTTTAGATTTGCTACAAAAGGAAGATGCATGGTTCTATGAACTTATCATGAAAGTTTATTGTGCCTTCACTGCTGCTTTGGGTACTTTTCATATGTTCCAATGGAGTTATAATCTAATGCATTGATGAAACCCTTTCGGCGCACAGCTTCTTCGACCAATCTACAAGCAAGTTGCAGAAAATCGGAACGCCGAGATATTCTCTGCCAATACACTTCTTGTGATTCTGGGGACTAGTTTACTGACAGCTAGGGTACGACCTTAGTCTTGTTGGTATTTTGCCATTTGCTTATATTCTGTCATTTGCATTCTTTCTCTTTTGCTAAATTTGTTTGTTTCTATAACTCAGGCTGGACTTTCCATGGCATTAGGAGCTTTTTTGGCTGGTCTACTCCTTGCAGAGACAGAGTTTTCCTTGCAAGTAG